TTAAAAAGCAAAGCTGCAAAATTGTACATATTACTTAGAATCAGTTTTGAAAAGAAAGATTTTGGTCATATATTTTCAGCGCATGGAGTTTGACTAGGGAGAAAGAACTATAATTCTATAATTTGTCTTACAAAGATTAGTTTATCTCAACCACTGCTGAATGACACTCAGTGATACTTTATCAGTGTGTGAACTTGAATGAAGCCCATCGCTGAAATTTAAGATGTATGTATAGAAAGCAATCAGAAAAGAAGATATCTTTATTAATACAGATGACCTGTTTTATTCACTCACTGAAATCCTCAGTAATTTTCATATCTTCAGTTTTGATCTGACAGCTTTAAAAATTTTCTTTTTTTTATTCTATATTTCTGTGTAACTCTACAATTGGTTTTCCAAGTGATAATACATACAGCTTAATTTCCTGGACTGATACACATCTCCCCCTGCAGTCAGTGGTCTGAATGGAAGACTCCCAGCTGGCTGATTTGATTAAAGTGAGACGGAGCTTACCAACAACATGTAGAGAGGCAGCGTGTACAGAAATAACGGAGGGGAGTTTGAGATACAGATGCCTCTCAGACAGATCCAGTGTGGGATTATATTTAATTTGACATCCCTAAAGGGAACAAGCCTGAACCCTCAACATCTTTCTTTGTCTCTCTCCCTCCCTCTCTCTCTGTCTCTCTCTCTCTCCTTCTGTAATACACACATACACACACACACACACACACACACACACACACACACACACACACACACACACACACACACACACACACACACACACACACACACACACACAGCAGTACCTCTGACCTGTGCAGGTTGATTTCCCCTGGCTTTAAATGTGACGTCTCAATCTGTTTTCTGCCATATTAACATCGGGGAGAACACAAACCCCCCATCACACCCGCAGTCAAGCCCGTGTATTCTGCAGGATGTATCGTACCCACTTCCACCAGGGGCTTTGCTGCTTCCTTGACATCTTTCATTGTACACTATAATCCTATGAATTTGTGAGCATGCAAGCCGATGTGTGAGCGTGAACGTGTGCAAATGCCATTTCAGTGGGGAGCCGACCCCCACTGCAGGTGACATTTTTACTGGAGAAATGTCACCACAGCCATTTTCATCCCATATGTCTGTGTGAGTGCGTGCGTGTGAGTGTGTTTGATTAGGTCTTGGCAAGCTTCAATTGATTTCACAGGAGAGGCTTGTTATGGTCCAAATACTGGAATATCTCCCTGCCTTGGTACCACTGCTCCTTCTTCATTTATTCCCTGTTTCTTTTCAAACCACTACAATGACTATGTCAGCAAACATGTCAGAAGAGGGACATTAAAAAATAACAAAAATCCCATAGTTCACTCAGTAGATACAATTAATCTCATTTGTTTAATCTTTGCACCTAAGTGTAAGAATGATAAGCTGTGGTTTAACAGGAGGTTACGTCCCAGGCTATTTCTTGGTCAGGAGCTAGGCTAGCTGTATTTCATGCTAAGCTAAGCTAACCATGCTTCCTATCTAATAGACAGATATAAGAATGATATTGAACCTCTCATTTAACTCTCAGCAAAAAAGAAAATAAGGCCGACCATCTTTTACATTTTTGTTTTCCAATTTTACAATTGATTCAGGGTGGGCAGGCTACCAGCAAGATGATGGGGAGACAGAAATGGTACACAGCTAAAACAACTGGACACCTTAATCAAAGTTCCCCAGTAACACAGATCATACCAGAATGATGGCTGTGAGAAGTCCACATGACTGTGAAAAGGACAGTTTCTGTAATTAAACAATAGTAGTAGCAGACATTTGTACACAGCAGGGCGGGCCAGACAAGCTGATCAGTTCAATCACAAGATCGCAGAGGATTATACTGTGATGAAACAGAAGCAAGAAAAGAAATATAGGGAGACAGAGACAATGTGTAAAGACGGTTTTCGATGAATGTGGTTTCTAACATATACTGTCTATGTGTTTTTTTTTGTGTTGTTTTGTGGGTGTGCAATATAAGTATAAGTATTATTTGGCTGTTGTGTAAGTGGGTGCTTGTAAATATGTGAGTGTGAATCTGTCTCCCTGACAACTGAGGAGACATCTGTCACCTCCATATGGAGAGAAACGGAGATAGAGGCTCAAAAGAGGAACAAAGCAAAAAAACACAGCACATATAATAATCAGTTGCATAGAAAGAGAAAAAAAATAGGAAACCTAAACTGAATGTGAGATTTCGAGATCTGGAATATAAATCCTACCCATGTGAAAGCATCATTTTACTCACACTTACTGCATGTTGTTCAAAATAGAATAGTAGGAACACAGATTTCTATCTCACATTTCTGTGATGATGACTGCTTTATCTTTGCATTACATTTGCATTTAGAAACAACTTATTTTCAGTATTTGTTATTATTCGTTAGATAGCGGACGGTCAGAAGTGACAGAAAAAATGGGAAACAAGCTCATGAATTAGATCCAAACCACAACATGGTGAGTTTGTGGAATTCAGATCAGGCAAATAGCTCAGATTCAATAGGTGGCTGCAGATTCATTATATTACACTATTATTTTACTTAAACTGTTTTTGAAATGTTTTAAGGTTTTTCTGGCTAAATGTTTCTTAGTACCATTCTCGATTAATTTCACTATGTAATATTTTACTAAATGTCATTACAAATTTAATTGAAATGACACGAATGGTTGAGTTTCTCACACACCCATTTTCACACACACTTAGAATTACATGGTGACGGAGTGACCCAGTAGCCAAATGGTTACAGCACATGCAGGATAACCGCACGTAACAACACCCTGTGACATGTCATGCCCTTCTCTCACCCCTTGTTTCTGTCTCCTTCTCCACTGTCCACTGTCAAATCAAGGTGAAATGAAAAAAATACATTGTCATAAAAAACTAGTATAGTCACACATGGAAATGCACACACAGTGACAGACAGGAGCTCACAGACACAGTATGCACACCCAACTGTGATGCACTCTCACAATTTCATACTCACACCTACGTGCACAAAAACACAACAGGATATGTGTGGGGTCCCTTTTCACTCTCTGTGTACGGTAACAGACACTGCTGTTTTGATTTTGTTATCCATACTCATTCATTTTCTAGCAGTAAGGAAACATTCACACACACACACACACACACACTCACACACATACAGTCAGTGAGCCTCAAACTCAAACTGTGGAGGAGGGGGCACTAAAAACTCATTACATGGANCCCCCCCAACCCCCTCCCCCGCACATCCACAACACACACACGTTTCATCAACCACTAGCAACGGTGACAGATGACTTTTGTCAGCCTGAGATGTGTTACCGTGGTAACCATTAGGCTACATTTCGGTACGGTACAGCAGGGGTGACACACACACACACCCGCACACACACACACATACACACACATATCAATAGACACACTCAGACAAACTGGCCAAGGTCATGATAAAATACCACAGCTCAGTTCTTAGCACATTCCAGCACTTTGTGGACTGCAATAGTTCTCAACCTCAAACCAAATCACTTGATTTGTTACTATAATTGATTTCGAGCAAAAGCTGCCATTAAAACCTGGGCTGCCTTAGACATGTTAGATAAAATTAATAATCAACGCTTTATCAAAATTAGGCAACATACAAATAAGTATCTTGGTAATAGTCCTCTAATACAGTACAAAACATTTTAATTTTCAATTAAACAGAATAATTTCCACAGAGACTGGACTTGTCCATGGTTTAAAGTGATAAAACACTTTTGGCCTTAGTTGAATCACGGGCTATGACACTGTTCTGTCTGCAGGCATGTGTTAAAATCAAGACAAGGACGATGAGTCAGAGTTTACATCTACAATAATAAACTTTTTAGTCTTAACTGTGATGAGGCATTTGCTGGACACGTCAACAAAATTAATGGGTATGAAGTGATGTGTCTGACTAACCTCTTGCCGTTGGTCATGTCCCATTTTATAAGTGGAAAAATTATGAAGACTCCTCCTCCTCCTGTCATTAAAACCCCATTTACACCTGGCATTAAAATGCATTTTGGGTGATCAGATTACAGTCGGATATTGCTTGACCACATGAAAATACAAGTGTAAATGCACCCAAGACGCATGGAGGATGGATTGTGCTCCAATAGCCACACCACTTCTGAAGGTGGTCAAGGTGCATCCCTGACTACAATGAACACAAGAATAAATGCGATTGTGTTTTCAGTCCACATACACATGGAAATATGTAATCGTGAATTACTGTTCCAAACCAGCGAGGTAGCAGCTAGGCAGCTAGCAGCCTTTATTCAATAAATACACGAAGCAGCCTCTTCCATTCTCCTCTGCTTTTGATTTCAGCATTCTGGTTGTCGAAGAACGCTTCTTCTGCTGCTTCGAAAAGCAAGTGAACACAGTAACACAGCTTCATGAATGGCTACCATGTTTTTAAAATCCTTTTGTTGTTGTTTGTTGTATTTTTGGACCCGTTCAGTCGAGAGGGGGATGTGACGTGAGCTGGACATAGCAATCAGATCTCAGTGTGGACACTGGAGACACATTAATACCAGGCGTAAATTTAATCAAGTTAAAATCATTTCTAGATGCAATCTAGACACGAGACACATTTTAATGCCAAGTGTAAATGGAGTCTAAGATGCATTTACCATACTTGATAGAAATGAGAGGCAGTTATCAAACATTATAGTCTGAGAACAATAGTCGGAAACTTTTAATACATAACTGTCAATTGACTGTGGAAAGGAATCTTTAATAGCATTAAAGACACCATGGATACGAGTGACAAAAAATGTATTTATTATTGATTAATTAAAAGTTGTAAGTTTTGCTTTTTATTTGATTAAATTAATGATACCTGTTTTGGGTGTTGAGTAGTGGACCCATTAGACTTTTGAAAATAGTGTGTAAATGTGTAAAAGTCAGACTTTCTTCCAACACAACTGCCAAGTAAATGTTTTTACATTACCTTTCCAAGCCCAGGGGTGTCTTTTATCTTATTGGCTGCACGGAGAAGGCAGGGTGGAGCTGGGGGAGGGGCCATCAACAGGGCGGAGCTGAAATTGGTCGGAAACAGAGGGGGGTCACATGATGGTGATGATGATGTCACTGGGGCTGTGACTGCGGCGGTCTTCTGCTTCTTCTTCTTGGAAGCCAAATTCAACTTTTGCGCAGCTCTGAGAGAGGAAAGCAGAGAGGAAGAGGAAAGAGAGTCCAGTCAGTATGATTAATATGTTAAAACCATACTGTAAAAACAATATCATAAACACTAAGTTGTTTAAATGGATAAATACAAGGAGATGAGGATGGACAGGAAGTATGGTGGCACATGTGCATGCCAACATGGGTCTATAATTACATCCTTACCATTTACCGCACAACAACCATGGCAAATATGCTAACTGCAGAATAGAAATTGATTACACACCCTTCAACACATGTACACACAAAGACCCACACACACACACACACACTCACACACACACACACACACACACACACACACACACACACACACACACACACACACACACACACACACACACACACACATACACACTACTGTTTACATATGTAGCAACATCTGGATGGGGAGTGGTTCATTTGCTTTCTTGCTGCTCAATTCCCTGCGGCATTTAGCTCAAAAGGAGCCACCAAAAATTATATTTATATATACTCCATCACTTTCCTGCTCTCAGACTCTCCTTACTCTTTCCTTCCCTTTAACTTCAACTTCTAAACTTCTTTGTCCTTCTGTTCTCCTCACTCTCTCATTTCTTAGCTCAACACAGCAGCTTCTTTCTGTCTGCCTCTCTTAGCACATCAGTACATCATTTTTTGTGTCAAACTTTTCCGCCGACATCTCTAACTCTCTTTCTTTCTTACAAAGCAGAAAATATCACATAGTCACGCCTGAATTTCTGGTTTAACTTACATGAAGGAATTTATAGTATAGAAACAGCTATTACCAACCACTACAATTTCCTCCCTCTGTCTTTTTGTCTTCTACAAATCTATCATGGCCAGATGTAAGTGTTCATCTGCATGATTTTAGCCTGGCCCGTTGGCTAGTGAATAATGTGCCTAATTTTGTTGTACTTGATGATAGTTTTTGAACACAGGGTCTCTGTTAAAAAGATATTTCTTGAGGGAGAGCCAGTAAATTTGCTTGCAATAATTCACCCTAGTGATTTACTGCCATTCTTCACTGTATGTGTTAATATATTTCCTTCTCTGGGATTTAAGAAGCCACAATTCAAACAGGCATATTTCCTGGCAATCTGAGTTACACAGAGCAGTTGTATTAACAAGATGATAAAATAAAATAGCTCTAAAATAGAACTGGCAGGGATTCATGCTCAGTTCTTTTTTATACTGTCCTCGTATATATTTCTAAGATTATAAAGAGAGAGAGAGAGAGAGAGAAGACCTTGCGCCCTGACACACTCTCTGTCAAAGAGCCATATTCTCACACCATTGGCTTTCAATTAACTGCAGCAGGTTACAGAAATGAGACCGAAGGGGAGAGTCAGTAAGGGAAAGGGAGCGAGGAGGGAGAGAGAGAGGGACAGTGCAAGAGGAGGGGATGGGGGGTATGTGGATTCAGTGACCCGTAGAACGACGAAGCGTTTCACCATTTGACTAGCTCTCCCAGGAGATTTGTGTGTGAATCTGTGTGTGTGACTGTGAATGTGTGTGACTGCATATACTGCAACAAAGCTCCACAAGAAGACCCCTAAGTGGTTTCTCACTGTGTGCAAGCTAAGCTCACATACATATTGCAGCAAATGTGATCAAAAGCAATTACTGGTTTTCTTATTATACCACTTGAATGCTTAAAGCCCTCCTGGCAGCATGAAGATACGCGAGTAGTGGATTATAAAAACTGGTACTCGTCAGGTGCAGGAATTTACAGTATCTTAAAAACAATAATGGTGTTACTGGTGTTACTGAGGATTCAGTGAGATTTAGAATCTACTACTTGATTTCTAAGTAACAATGGAAACATGGCTGCTGCAGCTGCTGCAGCTGCTGCATCTGCTGCAGTGCTGATGGTCGTAGGATGAGACATGACTATGATGGATTCATGCGCAGTCTACTCTGCTGTTGGAGATTCCTACTTGTAGCATGTACACTTTTTTCCCACCACTGCTTGCAGAAAATCATCTTTCTGTTCTTCTGTCTATGTCACTTCCTTCCCAACAAGAGGCTCGCTGAGCAAAACATATGTCAGATTGTTTTTTGTTATTGCTTTTATAATGCGTCCTTCAAATTCATCAGCCACATCAATTTCAAATATTTGCATGTACTGGTATTGTATACTATGTTCTCACAACCTGACTGATTTAATCTGTGGCACATTTCAAGCAGGGTAGACACACACACACACAGACACACACACACACACACACACACACACACACACACACACACACACACACACACACACACAAGCTAATTGCTAGCGTTTAATGACAAGTTGCCTGGGATTTGGCCAAGTGGATCTATTCCAATCAAACCCTAAAGTGAAGGGCACTTGTTTTCCATCCATCTACTCCATCTCTCTATCCTTCAGCTCTTCCTCTATTACCACCATCATCTTATTTACACCCCCTCTCCATTACATTCATTCATGCCATAACTCTTTTAAATCCCTCTCACTCTATAATCATCCCTTATTTTTCCCTCTATTTTACCCCCCCAATTATGTTTATCCTTTCATCCTTTGCTGTCTCTCTTTGCCTTCTTCTCTGCCCTCCATACACCCACCCATCCATCCCACCATCCGTTCAGCCTTCCTTACATATATTGATCCTGTCATCCATCCTTGCCTCTCTTCCCCTCTGTCCCTTCATGCGTCTCTCTCTAGCTGTGACTTTCTTTTCTTCTTCCTTTTATACAACTACATACACTTACACTTGACTGTACATACAGAGATTCACTTGAAACACACAGACACACACACAAACACACACACACACACACACACACACACACACACACACACACACACACACACACACACACACACACACACGGGTGTCCGTGGGCTGTGTTGTTTCCTTAGTAGCAAATTACATTCTTTTTAACGGGCTGTCAGTGGAGGGAGATATAAGGACAGACAGAGAGAGATTGTGTGTGTGTGTGTGTGTGTGTGTGTGTGTGTGTGTGTGTGTGTGTGTGTGTGTGTATGTGTGTGTGTTTGTTGTATGGGGTCAGTAAGACAGGCATGGGCAAATGACAGGCTTTACTGAAACTATCTATCTATTCTCTTAATGGACATGTACCCTCCAATATACACACTTCCTACTCCCTAATAAAAGGCCACCAGATATATTGCACTGTAAAAGTGCAAACAAGCCTGAGCAATAAAATATTAATACCATTGTGTTCAACATGGAGTTACAATAGCCACATGACACTTCTAGCTCATGTGTATCCTAATATACATAATGCATGCCTGTGGTACTGAATATATCTCAGCTAGTTGCTCATCTTTCTGAAGTATATAAATGTCTTATTGTTTTAAACACTTTTTAATAAACAATGCAAGGTCAGAAATTAATGTTTGTGAGTTATCAGTATTTTTACTGAGTGAAAATATTGAATGGATAGAATAGTTGAATTCACTCTCTTGTTGCTCTCCCACTAACTCTACTATTAAAAACAGTGAGACCACTTGAAGAGCAAATTAAAATTTGTCTCTTTCTGTTAATTACCTGTTTTCAGCTCATGTTAAATGACACATGAGCAAAAAACAACAATAAATGTGGTTCTGAGGCACATCATATGGTAATTTTTTTAATCATTGACCACCTATTTAAATCATCAATCACCCATTATTAATTGTGGCTAATTGGTGGCCAATTATCGTTTGATTGAATAGTTCTTTTCTAAGAAAACTGAGGAGAGGCAGCAAGAGGTAGGCAGAGGCAGAAGAAGACACAGCACCCCCTCCATTTCTCAACCATCCTCCATCCAAAATAACAACACCTCCTCAATTCACCAATTCACTTGGGACCTATTCATTTACTCTGCCACCTCCAGCAACACACACACACACACACACACACACACACACACACACACACACAGCCAGCCAAATCCCTAAAGATCCAATCCTCTGAGCATGCAGTAAAAAATTCCTGCACTGATAGGGACTCCCTTCCCCCAGTGAGAAAAAGCATGCACACACATGCACGCGCGCACACACACAAACCTAGGCAAGTAAAGCATGTCTATATCCTCTATCCCAGCATCCCCAGAGGGCCACCACCACAGCACTGGGAAGATGGAGCGCTGCTGTGTGAGTGTGACATATTCACAGACAGATTGGTACTAATGAAAGATATTACTCACATGCACATTAGCAGAGGTAAAGAAAAGGTCAGTGTGAAAATAGAAAAAATTTTTAGGAGTAGAGTGGAGAGGTATAAAAAGGACAATGGCAGAGAAAGAAAGGAGTGGGAGAAAGAGCAAACGAGAAATAAAGGAAGCAATTAAATGAGAGGAGGATGACGGAAAAGACATGAGGATGAGAGGAGTATGAGGAGGAAGAGAGGGATCAGGTGAGAGGAGATGTGGGCACAGGGATTTTGCTGTGTGCAGACACTGAGCATGAGGAGGATTGTGTTTGTGTGTGTGTGTGTGTGTGTGTGTGTGTGTGTGTGTGTGTGTGTGTGTGTGTATGTATGTGTGTGTGCGTGCGTGTGTGCACAAATGTGTGTTATAAGAGTGTCTGTATGCAGTCCACGTCTGAGAGTAAAGACCAAGACAACCATGGGATTTACCAGCACTGCATGGCTGCATAAATCGACCATAAACACAAATACACACACATACACACCAGAGTCAAAACTAAAAGGTGACAGAGTATACATTGTTTGTTTTTTTGTTTTGTTTTGCCAATTAAACTGAAATCCTACTATAAACTCACACACAATTGACAGGAAAAACGCAGACAAACTGTGCATGCGTATGTGAAATTTCAAACAGCAAACAAAACAAACACTGTGACACTTTGTCACATTGAATTTAAGAGAAAATTACACATCACAGTGTTGAGCATCTACAATAATTACACAGGCTAGAACAGGAGAAAAAAGACTGACAGCTAGACACACACTTCAACACACACAGTGACACCTGCACCATTAAACAAACCATGTTCTTTCACTTAGAAGGTTAATGCTCATAAATCGACGCAAGACAGCTGGCTGTACGTTTGGAATGTCAACCAGATGTGTTGTGTGTGCGTGTGTGTTTGCGTAAAATGTCCTTGTTACCTGACAGTTCAGGGGGTCATAGAAAGAAAGCTAGAGAGAGAGTGTGTGCGCACGTGTTTGTGAGCATTCATGAACAGTTTACGAGTCAGCCTGGTCACTGGTGCATCAAAAGCCAGACATCACTGTCTGCTGCACGTCAGTGATATATCAAACACACAGACACACACCCACTGCACACACAAACACAAAATACGGGAATGTGTAGAAGAGAAGAGAAGAGAAGAGTGTGGAGGAAAATAATTTAAAATGTGATTTAAAGCAGCTCATTTGATTAGAAGGATCAGTAATACTTCAGACACTGTGACACACTCATAGTCTTGTGTTACCCATGAATAATTTAGACATTCATTTTGAGCTTGCCATGTTTATTCATCAATAATTTACCCATATTACCCGTGTCTTATTTAAGTTGTGTCGCTCTGCATTTCTAAAGATTTGATTACACAGCTCATTGACGACTGGATAGTTGATTCATACACAAACACACCAAAAGATAAGTAAGTAGACTTATGCACAACATATGATTGTATTAAATTTTCCACCACCTTCCTCTTACTTCATCTAACAATGCAGTTATTAGTGAACCCGTTCTTTCATTCTTTTTGCTTTATGAAACGACTTAAGAGCATAACAGTCGATGTCGGCACTTTTAAACCCAGGATACTGGGTTAACCCAGCGATAGATCTTTGAACATATAAGCTAGTAAGATGCATGTCAGATCCTTGTTTTTACTGAAATTCACATTCTCTGAAAAACTAATTCTCTTAGTCTTCATAATGCTGCTAAATCCCTAAAAAATCAATCCTTGTAGGATAATGGCATAATACACTGCTACAGTGTTGATATTAGTATGCTAACATCAATGGCTTCCTGTGGCTCTCTACAAGCAGATGCCTCTCAATCCTGTTTTGTTCCATTCAGTCACATTGTCTGCAGTTCTCAGAAGACATTTTAGTCAAATTCAAACACAAAAGAGAACTGGGAGATGCAGAGCTGGTGGTGTTGAATTAGTGATGGAGTTTTTGCAGTCTAAAAACACTTTCCAATTGACATCACCAGAAACATCAACAGATGTGGAGATGAATGCAAAAAAAAAATAATTTCAGCTGATCATTTAATTAAGTGTGGAGGCTAAAATCAGGATGCCTGTTATCGTCCTCTCCTGACCATTAACGTTAATATCAAAATAAGATCTGTCAGCAGTACTTTGATGTGAAAGCATCTTACCTGGCAAAGAAAGAGGCAGCGGCCGAGGTGGCAGTTGGTGCCGTGGTGGTTACAGCTGGAGTGTGAGAGGGAGAGTTTGTGTGTGATGGTGAATTTGTGTGTGAAGGAGAGTGTGTGTTGTAGCGGTTCAGAGCAGCTTCAGTCAGTCCTTCTCTGGAGGCCTCAGAGATCATCTGGGAGATCTGATATGAGAGAGAGCGAGAGAGAGAGGGAGAGACATTTTACTATAACTGACAAAAAACTCAGAGTTCAGAAAATAAATTAGAAATGATTACATGTGTGTCTGCGTCATCAACAACAATCTGTTGCTGTGAAGATATAAAATCCATTAAAGAAGCAGTGAAAGAAAGAAAGAACGAAAGAAAGAAAATGGACAACAAAGTCACCCAACAGAGTCATATCCTCACCCCTCCTCTTCCCCCTCTCCCACCCTGACAGATGAGATTTTTGTGTGTGTGTGTGTGTGTGTGTGTGTGTGTGTGTGTGTGTGTGTGTGTGTTTTCCTTGGCAGACAGACTGCAGATAAGCTTTTGCAGTGATCACAGTGAACCAGCAGCAGAATGATTCTGAGTCCCAGATAGACAGAAACAAACAAACAAACAAACAAACAAACAAACAAACAAACAAACAAACAAACAAACAAACAAACACCCTCCTGCCTCAGACTCTCTCTTTTAACCCTAAGCCTTCTCATCCTGTTTCACCCTTACTTTTCTTCTTGTCTATTCCTCTCACCACTTTTTTTTTTTTTTTTTACTTTTGATATCGCTTCCCTACTCAATTCAATCTCCTCTGTCCCTTTGCTCTGCCATCTTAAGCTACTCACCTTTGTTTCTCCTTTATTATTGGATCATCTTTCATGGTGTTTGTGCTTTATTAGATAGCATGCAGGGACGAATGCTAGTGAGGACAAAGAGAGACACCTTTGAACTTATAACAGTGTAAAGAAATTAAATTTTCCTGGCCTGTGTGAGTAACTGTATTTTTTTGGCCATTCTGCCTTTATTACAGGTGATAGTGTAGCTATACAGTAGACAGGAAACATGGAGAAAGACAGACAGGTGTGAGATATAACAAGGGTCCGCTGGCTGGAGTTGAGCTTTGCAATTACATGGTATGTGCCGTAACCAATAGGCCACTGGACCCTATTTATTGATATGTGTCTATAAGTATCTGAGAGTGACCAAAATGTTAAATTCATAGTTATCCCTGGTCCCACTGCATATTATAAAAAAGCACATTCAGCTATCTCTTACTCAAAATCTCTTCATCGATCCTTCTTGTCAACAAAGTGTGCGATTTTAAGTATTGTTGCTTTTGTATGTGTGTGTATGTGTGTGTTGGTCTTTGATAGGTGTGCAGTATCTCTGCCTGTATCAGTATGACCCTGTGTGTGAGCAGTGTTTGGAGTCGGCCTGTACCAGCTTCAGACGATGCCTGAGACATGCAGTCACACACAAAGAAGAATTTATGTGACAATTTAATTGCTTTATGAGAGTGTGTGACGCATTAGTTTGACACTGTGCACAGATGCGTGTGCATTGATGTATATGTATGGGCAAGTGTGTTCATGTTTGTGTGTTTGCGTCTGTGTGTGTAGGCAACCCATTCGTGAAATAGATATGGATTATTGATTATAGTTCTTTATGTGCTGCCAGTAGCCAGACAGCAGAGCACCTAAATCATAACCACGTGCTCCAATAAAGGAACTATAGCTTGTGTGAGAGCTAATCTGCGAGCATGTATGTCTCTTGTGAGTACGTCTGTGTGTGTCCTTGTGCATGCATGTGTCTGCACTTCTCTGCACCTGTGTGTATGTGTGTAAATCACTTCCACTCTGTGTATATTTACTGCTGAGGGCTTCTGGGGTCCAAGCACGCAGCCCACTGCCTTGATAAATTACCTATTGTAAATGAGATGCCTCTATAGTTTATGTACCATACTCCTCTGTGCATTTCCACCCATTTCAAATGCTCAGACCTGGCTTGCTACCCCTGCATTATTAAAGGAGTTGTGAACGTATGGAATAAAGGTTCAGCAGCTACATGGAATACCTGTTCATTTGCACTGGTTACTCATTTATCCTCATGAATGGGAAGAGGAAAACTACTTGGACAGAGTAGAAAAAAAGTCACCACAGAGGGTTATTATGTGAGCTGAAAACTGGAGGTGGAGGAAGAATATGTGGCAGGTAGTGAAGGTGCAGCTGTTTGGCTAGTTAGTGTGAAGCAGGTAATATTAAGCAGGACTGACCAACATTGCCATCCATAGAGCCACACTGCTATCATGGCTAAAAAATGCAATAATCAAATTTGCCTTTATAATATCATGATATGTCAAAAGGTATCTGAAACATGTGCTGATGGGTAATTATGCCTCACTGTTTTCATTAAACCAGCTTGTATGAGAGCTGTCTGCACCTGAACTACTGCACACACAAATCAGAATGATGGTTTTTGTTCTTATGCGGTTGTCATGTTTGTTCCATTCAGATTTTCACTCAGGACATAAAGGCTTAATTACTATCTCTGTGTTTTACTGTAAATTTGATGAAATTTCACTGGATGTAACTTTAATGATCCCTATAGGGATATTAGGCCATAACAACAGGAGAGAATATGATATAGATGATAAGAGGACAAACAACAAGTACTGAGGATAATACAAGGGTGAAATGTAAAATGATACCGCAGAACAATAAAAACACAGCATCAGGCAATGTTTTCACAGAACAGCTGGTTCTGATATTGTACCTGTGAATGTGGGACTTTGATAGCTGTGATATCAGATTTCCACCGAAATACGAAGTGAAAAAAAAAACAGTCGAAAACTTATTCTGTCACTCTCATCCCTCTTCCTCTGTATTATAGCACTTACCCACAGCCCTCTTTCTCTGCTCTTAGAAAAAGGAAAAAAACTTGCTCATTCATCTTCATTACAACACAAACGCCATTTCCCCAGCATCCAGCGTCCTCATTTGTCTCTCTTAGATTTATTTTATTTTTTACATCCTTTTCCAACCATATGCTACAGGCAACCAACATTGAATTTGTGGCTGAAGGGTCAGGCTTGCATGAGGAGGGTGAAAACAGAAATGGTGTGTTTTTGTGTCCACGTATGTGTGTGGTCCTGCCTGTGGTTATCAGGGGGATAGACACAATCTGTAAAATAATCTACATAAATGCTCACTGCAGCAGGGTGGAGGAGAGGCTGCCCTTTCAGGACGAAAGTGAGGGAAAGACACAAAAAAACTGAAGTAAGTAAGCAAATGGAACAGGGTGTTAATTTATTTCACATTGGAGACAGAGAGAGTCTATGGGAGAAAGAGTGGGAAGGAAAAGAAAGCTAGTATGTACTGTATATGTGTCTCTGTGTGTACACACATATATACTGTGTGTGTGTGTGTGTGTGTGTGTGTGCCTCTGAATACCTAACAACACAGTGTTAGTACATGAACATCTATATGAACCTATTTTTCCGAATTCAGACTGGAGCGGACAGTATATATACAATGGCAAGCAAAAGTAAGTGAACCCTCATCTCATGTATAAGATGAGGCTTCCTGAAATATGGTCAGGTTTCAAGTTACAATTATGAACAAACACAATCTATTTTAACTAATAAGACACAAAGCATTGTATTTTTCTTGGCTGAGCTGTAACAGGTCTATAAAAAAGAAGGGTCCAAAATTACTCCTGAACATTTTGCTGGTCTGATCAGCAGCTACTTGAAGAGCCTGTTTGTGATTATTGGTGCCAGAGGAGGTTTGGCCAGTTATTAAATCCAAGGGTTCATTTACTTTTTCCACCAGCACTGTGAATGTTTAATGGGTGTGTTCAATACAGACAGAAAAGATTATAATTGTTTGTGGGAAATTAGCTTAGGGACATGGTGTTGTCTACATTTGTGATTTAGATGAAGATCAGATCACATTTTACGATCAATCAATGTAGAAAACCATATCATTCCAGAGGGTTCACATACTTTGTCTTGCCACTGTATGTGTATATATACATATGTATATACTGTATATATATATATATAGAGAGCGAAAGGGAGAGACAGAGAGTAAAGATGAGGCAGAGGAGGGTTGGATTGAGTATGCCTCATATCAACATATATAGAACACAGAATGTTGTATAATCAAATCAGAAACAGCCTCAAGGCTACAGGTTAAAGTTAAAAGAAAGAATGATGACAGGAAGAAATACAGATTTATGTACCTTCACTTTGCAGTACAGATAATGTTAAGGAATACCAGAGACATGCTTTCTGACCCAAATTATTCAATATATACTACAAAATACGCAATACAAAGGTTGTTAGCTAAATGGCATACTCTTATCATGCCCTTATTTTATGTTGGTATTTAAGGTCCTTGCTCGAGGGCACCAAGGTGGTGGCAATGAGGGTGGGACCAGCACTACTCTTTCTCTTTGCCCACCTAGATTTATTCTGCTGGACGACCCTCCGGACACAAGCTTCCTTAACATTTAGGCCTCCACAGCCCCCTCCACTTACTTTATACAAAATATGATATGATTTGTGCAAGTGGTGTATTGTATCTCACATCCTGTTTCTCTCTGCAAGATATACAATAACAAACACATACACGGTAAATTAGGAACGCTTATCTAACCATTGTTGAAAGTAGACACACACACACACACACAGACACACACACACACACACACACACACACACACACAACCACAGGCACACACACAACCACAGGCACACACCATACTGTATAAACCTGTTTTCAATTAGCTGCTTGAAGGACAGAGCGAGGGCAAACAGACAATGTTAGATTTGTTTTCTCATGCCAGAGAGAGAGGGAGAGAGAGAGACCCATCCCCTCTAAACCACAACCATAAAAAGCCCAAAAATGTAGGTGAACATATATATAGACTTGATTTTTTTCTGATTTTACTTTACAGTTTCTGTCAGTTGAAAGGTACAGTGATGGTGAATATGACATCGGGATACTAAATAACAGTTAACAGTTGACGTAGCAGTTTCTGTGTGGTTTCTTGGAGCAAATTGAAGAACCATATATCACTGAGCAGACTGCCGTCTGACCTCACCCATTAGTTTTGCAGCCTGGACCTTTGGTTTGTCACCTCTTTTTCACTACTGCTGACCCAGCAGGATTTTAATGTCAGCTTCACTGGCAGACAGGTTGCTTCCTTTCTCTGTCTCCCTCTGCGTCCTCGCTCTTTCAGCTCTCTGGGTCTTGTTGTGCTACCTTTGAAGGTGACTTTAATGGTGATTTTAATCATTAAAAACAGTTAAACTGAATAAGACCACACCAGTGTGGTTCTGGTAGTGTTTCTGAAGAGTCATACACACATTTCCTATGAAGCCCACTGATTCCTACTGCAGGTTGTTGACTTTCAACCCTCTTACTTTCCCTTCTGTCAGTCCACCTGTGTTTGTTTTCTCTGTCACTTTGCTAAAGAGCGTGAACATGTTGGAAGAGATTTCTCATTTGGCCTGCGTTCAATCATCAGCCATTGTGAGACCGTCTGAAAGCTCCGCTGATGCATCAACAGCCATCTTTTATGATTCGTGCTGTACGGCAGTAAAGCAGATCTCCAACAAAATCCAATCCCACATCTCAGCAATGTGTCCATATACGCTGAGGTCTCAGAGTTAATGTTGTCTTAAGAAATTAAAGTGCCAGATCTAGCCCCTATAATAAAATTTCTTCTACTCTTATTCTAAACACATCTCTCTTAGCCTCTCTTCACCCTTTCTCTCTACATCTCTATATCTTTCAGTCTTATCTCCCTTTATTTCTTTCCATTTCCATTTTTTGAGCATCTCTCTGCTCAGTTCCTCCTCCTTCTCTCTCTCTCCCAGGGGTGAGTCTAAACAAGGGTGATTTATTATCATGCTCTGTTTCTCCTTTCCTGCTGAAACACCATTACTGTCAAAGTCACAGCACAAACACTCAGGCTCACTAACATTTTACACCTCCCAACACAGGTACTAACTCAAATACAGAAGAGCTGAGAGAATAGAAAACCTCCTTCAGATTCGAACACTGACTGTAATTTCCACAAAGACAGGCCAGAATACATAACAGCTTTTATGCCTCATTTATTTCTGACTAGTAGGACAAGATAACGAAACAGTTCCAGAGATTGTACGTAAGTAATTTCAACCCACTATTCATATCTCTGTATCTGATTCAAGTCATGGACTGAATAAAAATATACAGAGAGATGGTTGAACAGCACGATAGGAGAGGACATGAATATGAAAACAAAGTGTGAGAAAGACAGAAATAATAGGGGAGAGGGAAAGAAACTGTGTAAGTGTGTGTGAGTGAGTGTGTGTGTGAGAAAGAGAGTGAATGAGAGTGAAAGAGTGAAGGGGTACTGGGGGTGTGTGACATAGAGTCCCCAGAGTCCTAATTATCACTGTATGAATTATTACATCTGTAGTACACGCTCATACACACATTCACACACACATTCACACACACATTCACACACACACACACACACACACACACACACACCCCTCTGGATCTCCCCTGGAGTCTAAGCTCTCCTGCCTCTATACACCTCTAGACCACTCGTCACCTAAGGCGTTTTCTGCCTCCTACCAACCTCCTCTCTTGTTCTCTTGTCTACTCGCGCTCCCTCTCCTACTTCCTCGCTCGTCCTAAAACCTCTTCTTTTATCTCCATTTTCCATTTGAGTCACTTTTATAGTTTGTTTCACGCTAACTTGCCGCTTGATTTCCTGCCATGTTTAAGAAGTTATTTTGTGTCCCTCTCAATAAAAGATGGTTTTCAATTCCAAGAATGTGATTATTGTATCCAGAGAGAGCTCTTTTTGGGGAAAATAAACTTCACAATGTCCCTTTGATGTTTTCCAGTTAGCTACTTAAATGAATACATCCACAATTGTCTCTTTCTTTGTATTCAATGGGAAATGGCAGTGAAGCTGACAGACAGGAAGTGAGGTCATATCTCAGCAACAGCTTGTATGTATCCAGACCAGACCAAACCTGGTATATGATCTTGGAAACACATTTTGAGGAATACCAAAATCATTGGCATCAACTGGTCTCTAGGGGGCGCTGCAATAAGTAAAAATACATTTTGGTTAATAAACATCAAAGGTCAAGACATGGCAACTTGTCTTATCATCCGAATTGATGCAACTGCCATTTTGGAGTTTGTTTTTGCTGCTTCTTGAACAACCTTCATCCAAACTTTACCAAAGTTGGCACAGATTACCTTCAGACCAAGACAATAGTTATCACATGGATTTTTGATTTGCAAGAGCATTCAACCGTAACAGCCAATCGAAATTGGCGACAAAGATGCCAAACAAGAAATCAAGTCATATCTCAGTCAATCTTTATTCAAGTAACATGAAACTTGCTGTGAGTGCTTGCAACCTTGCCCATGACATAATACACTATACTATACTAATAACAGTCTGACCTGCTGGGCCCCCTATATTTATCATTTGTCTTCCTTTGATTTGGGTGATAGTAATGCTCTAGATTTTCAAACTACAGCTCCTACAATGCTTTGGGAAACGTAAAATGAAAGTATGATGCTACTATTTTGGCATATTGGCACCATTAAAAGTATGCCAGCAGTTCCTGTCTGCAATGTACCCATGGATGAGCTCTAACTAACATATCTTTTATGATTTCTACATGGAATAATGGTTTATATGTGATGGACATCAGAATTAATACTCAGAAAGTGTAAGTCACACCCAATCTAAAAATATGTGTATCACATCTTTTAAGTCAGATTTGACTGAGTTATGACTCATTGAAGGAGAATTAATTTTTACGCAAATTGCGACCATCGAGCTCAAATGGTTTTAAAGTACCTTAACGGCCTCATGTCACTCCCTCCTTTACCTACTAGGAACACACAGACATGTGCACATGGACACATACAGGCACACACTTTGCCTGGGGCTGATGCAATACAGCCTAGTCTGACTTTGTACAAGCTGAGAAGAGGACAGGAGAGAGCTGAACACATTATCTCAGAAGTCAGGTTTAGTCAGTGGATGATATCTAACAAGGTCACACTACAGTAGGTAGGTCCACCTACAAGCTGAAAATGAAAATGTTCCTGTCCTGACGCATATCAAGAGATGTATCTGTGTGGTGGTAACCTGTTACCATTTGGTATAATCATGCAAAAGCAGAATTAATTTATTCAGTCTCCTGGTGATATTTGCACTGTCGTCATGGGAGACATAGCTCGACAGATCTTTATGAGTGAATGTAAGGCACACACATATGCACACAAAAGTGCACACATACATTTCTGCACATAGCTTACCTGGTACGGATAGAGTGTCACTCCTCCATTAGTTCGGTTCATGTGCTGATGGGCCTGCAGAGCTGCTGTACTCAGTACTGCTCCACTCCCGTTATTACTGCTGTTACCACTGTTATTGCTGGGGCTGTTTACTCCAGTTACTGGTTGCTGCTGGGCACCAGCTGCTTTTCCTGAACTGGGGGACCCATTCCTTCTGTCTACCCCACCTCCAAGCCCCAGAGAGCTGGGCTTGGACCCCAGTCTGTGCCCTGGACCTTGAGGTTGTGGGTTTGTGGGAGCACAGCTGGACGTTTGCCCCACTGAGGGACTCCCATGGCTGGCGTTGGATGGTCCGTGGCTCGGGCTGGGCGTTGGCGTCTGGCTTGGGCTTGGGGAAGGTGACTGGGACGATTGGTGAGGAGGATATGAAGCAGCAGCAGCTGCTGAGGAGGATGAGGAAGGAAGAAAAGGAGGAGACCAGTCCCGAGATCCAGGGCCTCCTGGTACTCCAGATGCTCCGAGTGGACCCGGAGGTCCTTGAGATCCATATCGTCCAATCAAAGCAGGGGGGGAAGAGGTGGGAGACAAATCCCACTGGTCAAGAGTGAGGACCATGCGCACAGCTTCCTGTTTGAGCTGAGTGAGGTGAGTAGCGCAGACATCACAGCGACTGTCACGTTCATTCCACGCCCGCCGAGAACTGTTAGGCACCTGAAGCTTATCATGGAGGAGGAGGGAGAAGGAGGGATCCTGGAGGGAGAGAGAGAGAGACAAAAGGCTGAGATATAGACTGGTGTCTGGAGGAATGAATGAGAACTAAATGAAGCAAGAACAGCATGTTTTGAGGTGCACAGAGAATGTAAGTGAAGAAAACCTAGGAGAGGAGAGGAGAGGAGAGGAGAGGAGAGGAAATGAGAGGAGAGGAAAGGAGAGGAGAGGAGAAGAAATGATAGACATGTTTAACAAGTCATGACTATGAATATTTATAGAAAATCCAAGAAACATAGCCATGTAGCCTGGGGGAAGATGAAAATGAAGAGAAACACACACACGCACACACACACACACACACACACACACACACAAAGGTCAAAAAGTGTGATCGAAGCTGGACAGTCGTCTAATGCAGCCAGTACAGTAAGGAGTTTAAAATATTAAAGGTATATCATGTCACAGACATATTAAATGGCATCCCAGTTGTATGTCATGAGAACCAATACTTTGGTACCAAGTTAATACCAAAATTCAGAAAATTTGATGGTACTTGTTTATCGAGTGTAGCTTAGGAATGAACGTACCGTACATGTCGTAGGTACGTTCGGCAGAAACAGAAACAGAAACAGAAAATACTAAATGTATTGTTCTGTGCTCTTTTCTGTCCTTATGTTGGTGCTTGTATGTTTTTTGTGGGTGTGTGTATGTGTGTGTGTGTGTGAGCTATTATAGTGTGCTTTCTTATGCGTGGAGATCAGGATATTTGTCCAATTTGTTTGTGCAGTTATCTGTGCCTGTGTGCATGAATGTATGTGCATGTACAGGTATGTATTATGTGTGTGCGCGTGTGCATGTGTTTTTTCCAGACTAATTGGAGCCACTTGCACAGAGCAAAGCCACTTTAAATCTCCTGCCATGACTCTCTGGTCTAAATATCAAAGTTAACAAGCAAAACACACGCACACACCCAGATACAGATCTGCGTCTAAATCGTATTTGACTCCAGTGGAAATATTTTTTCAATTTCTCCGACAAAGCATTAAGTACTTTATCCGACAAAGGGTCATTAAATTGAAACTGTTTTTCCTTATAAAAGTCTGGCTTTACTCCAGGCCCTTGAGACTGATGGTGGGATTAAAGAGATTGTGTGACGTCGCGAGCTAATTGTCGGCTTAAGTGTAGGTGTAGTGTTGGTGTATTATCAGCGAGTGAATGCCTGCTTTGGACCTCTGTAATTCAACAAAACATCTGTGGTAGGTGGTGCCAGCTCAAATGATAACTGTAATTACCATCCTGCTTTCAACCAGCCCACCTCTTCTGTTACACTAAAGCCAGGTATCTGTGTTGACCCTTTTCTGCACACGTGATAGTTACAGCAAACTGAGTGTATGGTTATATGAAAAATTTATCTCAAGCTATTGTAACGGGTTAGACGGTAAAGACAGAAAGGGAGGAATGATAGTGACATGTTTCTGTGATTTTGTGCTATATTGTATGCATTCTTCTCCACAGATGACATGAAATCTTTTCTCTGAAACTGCTGTGCTATTACCAGGCACTTCAAAAACAAAAAACATTCATAGTTTTCTCATAAAATACTGTAGGTTGGTACGTATCCAAGTAAAGATTCTACATTTGTGGCTGTTTTAATAACCCAAGACTTTTTCCCTCTGATTGATTTTCTGATTGCGGTTTCACCAGAAATGTATGATGTAGTGTCAGAATATTAGTAGCAGAAAAAAACAATGTGATTACTTATGACACATGTTGATCTAATGTCAAACACATCCGTCTCAACAGATTTACAAGGACTTTTATTTGAATATCTCAGTACATCATGCCAGAGAAGAGGCATTGCATGTACAGTATTAATCCGAGTGATGGGTGGGCACTCTTTGTTAAGTGAAGTTTAATCAATACGTGAGTTGTAGAGATGCAGAGTTTGTTTGTGTGTGTATGTGTGTCCAATCAATAGCCATGTGATGGACACAGGTGATGGAAACAGACAGATGGTCACTGACTGACAGGTAGAAAGAAGCACATGAGATAAATCCACAGGCGGCTCTTCTGTAGATACATTGTGAATACATCCAATCACCCATTTGCATGATTTATACAGTATATTAACTGGTTGTTTAACCAATTCCATTCAACTATAAAAACGAATAATGTAGACTGACGTGTGTGTGTGTGTGTGTGTGTGTGTGTGTGTGTGTGTGTGTGTGTGTGTGTGTGTGTGGTCAGCATCTTTGGTGGCCCATATGCTAGTAATGGAATAGGATCCTGTTAGAGAGTGAATGTAACATACTGTCTGCCACTCACAAATAAGCCTCTATCAATAACAAGCCTGTTACCTTTCCTCAATCAATAAACCGTGTGTGTGTGTGTGTGGAAGTGTGTGTTCAAATATGTGTGCACACAAAGCAACATTTCATCTAATAGTAAAATGCAACCTCTCAGTCTGAGAGCTACCTCCTGGGCTATGTCAACAAACCGCAAGACCACAGGATACACACATACACACACACACACATACACACACACACACACACACACACACACACACACACACACACACACACACACACAAATGTGTGTATGTGTTCATGGATAAAGACTACCTTGTTACTCAGGCAAACTAAACAGAATAATGAATAGAATATGGTTTTTAAACATATATATACACACATTCAGGCAAACACACATATTCCCACCTGACATGAGACACGACATACGCACTCCAGACTACATAGAATAAGCTACTGGTCTCTCTCTCTCTCTCTCACTAGCCGTCTCTCCGTCACACACATACAAAAAACATGTTTGCAGAGTAACACGCATCAGAGGAGCCAGACTGGAAAGAACGCAGAGGTGGAGGCAGATATTTCATGCAACTCATTATTCATGAATGCATGTATTCAGTTGTTCACTGTATGTTCAATGGTTCTGCTTGGCCAAAGGGTTGTAACACAAATTTCTGCACAAGAAGACTTGGACTGAATTTGTTGCAACCAGCTAAGGGAGGGAACAGTAATGATAGCAACCAAGGTTATAACAAAAAAAAGTTTTCACTGGTCTTTATGCAGCATGTTGTGAAGTTCTCCCTGTGTGACTAAAATATTCTCTCAAGAAAGAGTCAGTCATTTCTGAGACTGACACCAAAAGCATTCATTGTTGCAAATTGCTCTACTATCAAACTTTAGCTGTACTGGAAAAATATAATGCCATGTCAACTACATTTGGCCACTCACCCATGGGAATGAGAGAGAAAGTGCACCATCAAACAAAAAAATGAAAATGCGGCAAACAAAAGGTACAAAGCAAACAAACCAACAGACTCACAAGCTCAACAGGTAGAAGTGTAGGGATTTAAATGGAAGCAGTGTATTGAGCCATATTTAGGTGGAAATATAACTTTAAACATACAGAGAACAGATGAACTCGGGACAGGTGTTTTGCTGTTAAATCCAAAGTGTGATGGTTTTAAAAGGCATGAAAAAGTTGAGTTCTACAATTACAACTAGTTTCAATTTTTACTGACTATTCATGTCAGTTACTGTATTATAAAATGTGTTTGAGATAGATAAACCACTGTGAAGAAATTGTGAAGCAATCCTCTGATAAATGCCATATTTAAGCCCTTTTCCTGTTTGGAAAGAATTGGAAAAGCCAGGCATTTGCCAAAAATCAGTGAAAAGGGAAAGTTTAATCTCTTTTGGCTTCTTACAACCTCTCTGTATCTCCCTGTCACACATACTTAAGCACACATGCACAGCAGACAAGCAACCAATAACGTGGACACGGTGTACGGTCCTTGAGATGAGGGCACTGTTGTTCCAAATTAGCTGAAATTTGGGGAGCAGCCAAGCTGCCCAACTACAAAACAAGAGAAACATGAGAGCGAGAGAAAGACGATCTAAGAAGGAGAGACTGAGACTGACTTATACAAATACTGCTTCCTGACTGCAGACACACACACACACACACACACACACACACACACACACACACACACTTTCCCTCTGTGCCCTCTGTTTGACCCTATTTCTCTATTTTTCTTCCCACTAATGCTTCCTATTTTTTTCCAGCTCATCTTTCTGTAGAACACACTAAATTTGAGTTTGTTTATATTTTCCTGGTCTCTCTCTCTCTCACACACATACATACACACAAACACACACACGCACACACATGCACACACACGCAAGCACGCACACACACACACACACGCACGCACACGCACGCACGCACGCACGCACGCACACACACACACACACACACACACACACACACACACACACAGACACACACACACTCATTAGTGCAGTATTATGTTGCCAGACAAGAGTCCAGTCCAGGCAAAACAATAAGGAGTAAATTCAATGAGGAAATCACTGCAAGCTATTTTATTTTTCTTGCAGTTTCGCAATAGTACATTATCTGATTTAAATTAGGATTGTTTGTATTATTTGACCATTAAATAAGATTGTGGCTAGGTAAGAACGTCACATTGCGAACCATTATATTTGCAGCTATCCTCCCTTTTTCTCATTTCATCAAACTGTCTCTTCCAGCCATCTCCTCACCTCTGAGTTCATCAGTATTCTGTGTGTGACTCAATCAGTCTCAGCACCACAGATACAGCCTACATGTGTGTGTGTGCTTGTGATTCATTCCCTCCTACGAGGGCAGACAAACACAGCCTCAGCTCTACACTGCAAGGATGAAGTGAGTGATAGAAAGAGAGAAAGCAGAGAGATGGAGATGGCATCCAAGCTAACTTAACAGTGACCTCAGTGACTCTTAGTGTGCTGACAGCCAGTCTGTATAGGAAATGACTGTGTGTATGTGTCTGTAGACTAGACACAGAAGGATGCCATTACTGAGATTTGATAAGAAAAGACAGTTCAGCTCTGTTTGGACCTTACTGTTTGTGTGTGTGTGTGTGTGTGTGTGGTTTGTGTGTGCATGCGCGCACTGGAGGTAAAGGGTTCAGGAAAATAGGCTGTCAAACATAACAACAAACATCCCTTTCA